CTGGAGAGGCACCTGGCCCTGGGGGGGGGGTTGCTTCACTCCCCCCAGGATTACGTATCCTTTTAATGTTCTTCGAACTCAGAGAATTGACTAGAACTTTTCAACTGTTAATTACAAGCCTGGGTTCTCTGGGCTCTAGGCCCCTGTGAACTCTCCTCTCTGCCCCCAGTTTGGTAATTAATTAGTCATGTTGCAGCACTCCTCTGTGTGCTTTCCCTCAACCCTCCCGGGCTCCAGGCTCAGTCCTACCATTTCCAGGGCCTTGAAAAAATGCCTTCTGCAGGAAGGCTCTCAAAGTCCCGCAAGTCTGTGTCTCCCACCCGGATTCCAGCAGATAGATAAACCTGTGAACTTCATGGTGAGCCCATGGGAGTCTATCCTTCTACTCTTGCAGATCTTGAGTGTAACCTTTTTTAAAAAAATTAAGCCAGTCTCTACCAGTGAAGTCATTAGATTGCTAAGCCATACCTGCCATTCATTGGCTCGTTTGAGAACTCAGATTGCTACTATGTAATATAGAATGTGCATAAGTTTGAGAAGTGAGACCTGGGATGCTGGCAGCCATAGCCACTGCGTGCAAGCATTTTGTGCTCTGCTGCTCACACATACAGCAAAATCTAGCATGGCTGGAAAAGGTAGAAACACCTCCTTGGGAGACCATAGCTAATTCAGGCTCAGGTGTGTCCTAAGTTGGCTAATGGAAGGTAAAATAGCCAAGGACAGTCAAAGGAGCAGAGGGCTGACCTGAGAGAGTCAACCATCAAGTTTTCAATACATAATCCTTTTTCAAGTTTTCAATTAACAGTCTCAAGACCCTGTGAGAGTGGCTGCTCAGCTCCTGGCCGGTGCTGAGCCCCTTGGGAACATAGCACACTGAATAGTGATACAGTTCCTGTCACCCTAACTGCACAGACTGCACAGCCCCCCCCCCCCGCCCCCAACAAGTGGGACCAAGGACAGGATGCAATTGTAGGTTAAAACTGAGTCACTGGGCTGAGCAGATGGTTCAGCAGATAAAGCCCACTTGCTGTGTAAGCCTGATAACCTGAGTTGATGCCCCAAACCAAGACAAAGGTAGATGGTAAGAACCAACTCCACAAACTTGTTTTCTGACCTCCATGTGTACTGCTCCCACCCCAGACATGGACACAGGACATAGATGCATGCACACACACACACACACACACACACACACACACACACACACACACACACCATACACATATGTACACATGTACATCATCATCATAAAATTAAGTAAAAAAGCTGAACGATGTGATGTGTGGAGCATAGCTTCTCTCAGAGGAACATGGAGGAGTGACAATGCATTGGACCTTGTCTGTTGTAGCAGCACCAAGCCTCCCTCAGAAAGAAAAGTGGAGCCCAGGGCCTGTGTGATTGGGCTGGAGTAGGCGAGAGGGACAATTTAGAGATGGGACTGTGTCTGCAAACTGGTGTTGATTCTACATTCTCGTTAAATGGGGTCATCTGAAAATCATAGATTCTTGCCAACTTCTTTCATAAACACCGATGTTCTGCAAAGCTAAGATGTCTCTCTGCAATTTCATGTCAAGTGCCATCCATGGTTGTGAGTACTTGATGTACCTGGTGTTTGTGTTTTAAATTGTGTTCTTACACAATTGAAATACCTCACTTCCCTTCTTCCCAGAGTCCATTTCTTGGTGACATGTTGAGTGTTGGGCTATTCTTACACTGTCTTGTGAGTTCGGGATTCATTGGGGGCCGCTATCTGTGAAAAGCCTAATTCTGATTGTTATTCGCCAATTAGAAGAAACTGTCACTCTGATCCCTTTTTCTTTCCAAGTGCGCACAGCCTGGAATTTGTCAGTCTTGGAGTTTCTTGAAACAATGCAATTAAACTGCAACATATTTCCTAACATTCTTAATTAAGACAGTGACTGGGAAATGTAGATTAGCAGAAGTTACTGTTTTTATCAGCATATTTTCTGTCTTTTCCGGCCGGCACCCTCACATCCCCCCCCCCCAGGGCGTTTCACTTTCCATGTCTGATGTCACTTTCGGCCACATGTACATTATGCACATGGCACAGAAGAAACAAAGTACAGAATTCTCTGGTTCTGAGCTGCATGCCCCACGCCACATGCACTGTCTGTTCCATTCGCTTCTTAGGAGGTTCACGCTGGGAGTTTCTTTTTAAATGCAGAATGTTTCTGAAGGAAAGAGTTGAGGTTGGGCAGATTGTGTTAGAGAAATCTCACTGTCGGAGTGGAATTTAATACACTGATTATTCTGGGCAGGCTCAAACTGGCACTGTGTGCAAAGTTCAAGAGTGTCTGGGAATTGAAATATGAGGGGAATTGGGAGAGTGAGCAGAGACAAAGCATTTGGAAGGAGAATTTCTAAGCAGGGCTGGGAAGTGAAACTAATGGTAACTTTGTAAAGATGGGGGGGCAGAAATGAAGTATGGAGACCCCGACATAAAGCAGCATCCACTGAAAATTCTTTATGAACTCAAGTCCTGGTTCCCAGGGCACATTGGAGGATGGGTCTTAAAAAGCTAGAGAGTGGTTGTCCAGCACCGTT